ACATATACCCAAGTAATACATGGCTGAAGACTGGGAATCTGGACAAGGAAGCAGGACAGGCTCACTATGGAGGCTAGCCCAGTCTTCAGCTACAGAGTAGCCCCATCACCCAGGGTGTCTGTTAGCTAATCTATAGGAGGGTTTACACTGCCTTTCTTTCTCGGTGCCTTTGATGGCTCCATTTTAGAGGTGATACAGAGGCCATGTCTCAGAGGTTAACTGCAGGGCGTACAGGGACCTACAGGGACCATACTTCTACTCTTGGAGTTGTGAGTCTACTGGCTCTAAAGACTTCCTTCCTCAACAGAGACAGTGATTGGTCTTCCCAACTACCAGGGACCAGTGGAGAAGAGGCCAGGCCAATTCCACATCCAGAGGTACACTCACGAAATGGCTTAGGGGGGCATTCCTTAGCTTCAAAATACATTGCAGGAATCTACTCCACCCCCCGCCATAGTGGATAATGAGAGGCCTTGCTCCATGGAGATAGATCTTGGGGAAGAACCAGGGCCAGTTCACATGAGGATTCACACCAGGTCATGGTTCTCAAACATCAGTGTTCAAGCAAAGAACATCCTGTATGTGTGATTCCTCGGCCACTCCCGGGAAATCTGAGGGGAGGTTATGGGGAGTGGGGAGTGGCGAGAAGCAAAGGCTGTGACTGGGGTTCTGAGATAGCATCTTTGAAATGGGGGAGGGGGGAGGTCAATGAGCCCGCCTACAGAAGTAAGCCCTACTATGTTCCTAGTAGGGGGTGGGGCTGTTTGTGACCGTAGAAAATCATTTTCTTCCAATGACAGTGGCAAAGATGGCTCAAGGCAAACAATGTCTCTGACCTAAAGATGCTTCCTTCAGAGGTTTGCTACCAGCACAAGATGCTTCCTTCAGAGGTTTGCTAGCCGCACTTGATCAGTTTTTATTTTCCTGCAAATCTTTTAGTTGTCACAAAAAATAATAAACTTTAACCGACAGAATTATTCTTAAATTGAGTCAAAATATGAAGGCCAAGGGTCACACTGCCATCTTGTGTTGAGGGCTAGCTTTTTGTGGAACACTGGACAAACTGTGACCCATAAAGTCCATCCCTCAGGTGCAGGTGACTTCCTCTTGGCTTGGGAACTTTGGATGAGACACTGGCAACATTCCCACCCCCTCCCCGACCTTGGCAGACACTTCACAAAGGCAGGTTACTGTCTACTATATAATGAATTTGTGATGCAAAGTAACTTTCCACCCTCTTACACAGTGAACATTTGAGAACCCAGAATCTAAACAGCACTATGTGTTTTCTGACACTGGTTCATACTCAAAAGCCTGGTTTACTAAAAAATAAACTAAACTAAACAACCGATCCCATCATGCTCACTGGGGCCAGAGGAGCCTGCTGGCACTGGCTCACTCAGTTCTCATCATGGCCCTGGGAGCCAGATTATCATACTGTTCCCATTTTAGGAGTGAAAAGCAGGCTAAGAAACATTGCCTAGCTGCTAAGGAATATTGCCAGATTTTGAACAGAAGTTTTCTGAGGCCAAAGGCTACAATACTGACCACTAAACGGTAGTATTTGCATATTTACCTATGTGGGATTATTTTGCACAAACACACATCACCTATATTTATGCCACTATTAATATATATTAAGAAATAAATTTTACACACACACACACACAGAGTCTGCCTTCTGTAACTGTAGGTTCAGCACCCACAGATCTAATTGACCAAAGACCAATATTTTATAAAAGTTGTGTGTTCTACTGAATGTGTACAGATATTCTTTAGGTCATTGTTCCCTAAACAATGCTATTTGCATAGCTTTTACATTCATTAGGTAGTGTAAACTGGGGATAGTTTAAAGCATTTGGAAGGACGTACAGAGATCATAGAAATGCACTATTTTATATAAAAGAGTTTGGTACTATGGAGTATTGTGGAATGAATTCTAGATATGGAGAGGTAAGTGTGGAATTTATATGTTACACACACACACAAGGACACATATCAATGTTACATGTGTATAATATATATACACGCACATACATATTATAACATAAAACATGTTCTGGTAAATGTGAGTGTAATAGTGTAGAATAAATTCAGGCTAGAACTACGTTAGCAAGATCTCATGTTCTTCAAAAGACACGAGCTCATAACATGCAGAAGTTCTCTGGTCTTCCATGACGCCCTGACAGTCCATAAAGGTCCATTTTATAGCTCACTGCCAGCTCATGTCTCCTGAGGGCCCCGAAAGGGCCCTTCTTGACCACCGTTCTCAGTGCTGGGACTTTAAGGAAGGGGAGGATGAAGTCAGAGTGGCCTGAAGACTCTGCCCAGAGCCTGGAGGAAAGCTGACTTCACCTTGCAGCCCTAAGGGCATTCACTACTCAGGGCCTCACCTACTACCACCATCTACCAAACAATGCAGGTGTGAGGAGCTCCCCTTGAGGGGGATCAAGGGACGAGTAGGCCTGCGTTGCTGAGCTGCTGTTGGAGAGCGAGGTGACCTTTGGTTCCACAGTGGTCCAATGTGAGCACGGCTGCAGAGCATTTTTGAAACTGGCCAGATGTTATGAAAGGAAACAAGAAGACAAGAAGAAACAAGAGCGAGATGATCCCAGCATAGCACAGCAGTTCAGACCTGGTTTAGATCTGTCCTACCCACCCCGCAGAATGTCCTGAGGAGCTGAATAAGAACAGATTCCGGTGAGACCTAGTGTACGTTTACAATCCCATAATCCCAGTGCTCAGGAAGCTGAAGCAAGCATCAAGGTCAGTTTAGATCCTTAGCAAAGTCTGCATCTCCAGCAGGAAGGACTAAGCACAAACTTGACATTCCCATGAATACCACTTTCATCTGCTCTTAAAAGCCAGAGTGGGGTATAGAAATGGCCAATGCTGTTCAAAGAAATCTTAATATTTTACAGGCTTTTATAGGCCATTTGTTCATCCTTTAGCAATTGCAAGGTCATTTAAAAAAAAAAATCTTGGTTCAGCCAGGTGGTAATCGGGCATATCTTCAATCTCAGCAGCTGGGAGGCAGAGGCAAGTGGATCTCTATTGTAAATTCGAGGTCAGCCTGGTCTACAGAGCAAGTTCCAGCATAGCTGAGTCTACACAGAGAAACTCCGCCTGGGGGTGGGGGGGGACGTTCTTGGCTCATCCATTCTAGGCCTTTGTAATATCTGTTCCTTATCAGTATAAAATCAGAGCCCTGTGGTGATGGTGACATAGCCTTTAATCCCAGTGCTCTTGAGGCAGAGGCAGGTGTGTCTCTGAATTATACTGGCCAGTCTTGTTTACGCAAGAATTACAGGCTGGCTGGGGCTACATAGTGAAACCTGGTCTCAAAACAAAACAATAAGAAAACTAATGTTTCGCCGGGCAGTGGTGGCTCACGCCTTTAATCCCAGCACTTGGGAGGCAGAGGCAGGAGGATTTCTGAGTTCGAGGCCAGCCTGGTCTACAGAGTGAGTTCCAGGACAGCCAGGGCTCCACAGAGCCTGTCTCGAAAAACAAAAAACAACAACAAACAAACAAACAAACAAAAACAAACCAACAAAAAGAAAACTAATGTTTCATTAAAAGGGATATATTCCATATCCTTCCTTGCATTCACTTCTGGGTTTGTTTCTGGTTTGTGTAGAACAGAAATCGATGCTCCCCAACAAGTCATGACAAGAAGCTACAAAGCCCACCCTCTGTGCTCTCTGGAGGGTGACACTGCTGCTCTTGCTCTGAATGACCTGGGGACATAAAACACCAACTCAGGGGCAGCATGAAACCCACGGCAACCACACACCCATGATAATCAGTAAGAGCTGTAGATGGATAGACAATCATAACACATTCACAGTGTTTCACAACTGTTCGCTCGGGTTCTAAAGCACCCCATTAGTCCCAAAGGACACACAGGTTCTACCTCCTGCCCCCCAGCTCATGGCGACCGCTGGCTTTCTTCCTCTCTCCATGAAGTCACTGATACTGGATATTATTGACACACTGAAACAAGTCATAAATGGCATTTTGTGTCTTCCTGACCAATTTTACTCTGTATATACTCCCAAAGAAATGGAGGCAAACACCCAAACAAAAACTAGCCCCTAGATGTTCACAGCAGTGCACCCACAACGGCATCCCCAAAGGAAAACGACAATAGTTCATGAGCTGAATAAATGAGAAACTACATATTGTAGCCACACAGTTAATGACTGCTCTGGGGCTGAAAGAAAGAATGAAGTCCTGATTTATAACACATTCCACCATGGGTGGGCACCGGAAAGTACAGATGATTGGCAGGTGACCGCAAGGCAGGGCTCTACCCATAGCAACTCCCTCACACGCCACCGCGTTTGGCCACGAGCCCAAACGTGTCTCACGAGAACCTGAGACCAGCTGTCACCAGGAGAGGCAAGGGACACTGCGGATGTCTCCATCACTGTAAAATCCTTATGTTCTACTACACAGCCATACCCGAGGCAAGTGAGAGAACATAGCTCAGCCCCGTGGCACGATCGAAGCTGGGCCAAGAGCGTGTGAACAAAAGTTTGCCCACGGCTGTACTACCAACCCTGCTCTGGGTCAGCGATGAGAAGAGAATCAATTCTGGCCCCCAGAGCTCTGCAACACATCTTCCCCCTTAACCAACATGTCCTCTTCACGCTGGAATATGCCACCATAGCGTGTTGGTTTTGTAGTTTTTGGTATGTGTATATTTGGAAGCCATGTGCACCTAATCTAGCTTTGTGCAAATAGATAAATAAAAACCCCATGTTATCCCTCCACCTGTACAGCATCTGACTGGGAGGATTACTCTGAGACCAACCAAGTGTCTGTCTGAACATGCTCAGAGGCTGTGACCCAGAGGTGGGTGAGACCCAAACATCTTTTCATTTTCTTTCAAAAGCTCAGTTTGGAGCCACCCTGGTAGCTTCGTTGTACTAAGTAAATTCTGGCCGGGTGAACGGGGCAGGACTCCTGGAGTCTACAGGGGGCTTGTGGCTTACCGCTTCCATCAGGCCCTTCACCGTGGGTGATTTCAGCATCAAAGCATCGAAGACATCATCGTTCTCCTTCCTCACATACAAAAGCACTGCAAGAGAAGGGAAGAACCAGAGTGAGCAGAGGCCTGCGACTGCTTCTTGTCACATGGGACGTCAGGCTGCCATCACCTGCTCTCTGCTTCCTGTCACATGGGGGCGTCAGGTTGCCATCACCTGCTCTCTGCTTCCTGTCACATGGGCATCAGGCTGCCATCACCTGCTCTGCCAACAGGCTCACTGGGACATAAATGCTCTCATGGCTATCTATATCCATACTTGAGTTTCTCGGGGTGAACACACGGTCTCTTTAGGACCACTCTTTCCTGTAACTTATATTTGCATCTTTGCTCATTCAGTGAATACCACTGAAGGCTCCTGTATATAGCAAGAGCTGAGCTTGCAGCAGAGAGCTAGTTAACCCCAACCTCTGCCTTGAGGGAGTTTGTGGTCCCACTAGGAAAGGCAGGCAGGCTTGAGAGAGTAATGAAGGGAAAGTAAGAGACAATGCTTTCCAGCCAGGTTCTGCCACGGTAAGGCGAGGGAGAGTGCCGGAAGTGGGGGCTCAAGGATCTCTGAGTTGTGAAGACCGTAGGAGCAGCTGTCTAGAAAGGAAAGTCATGAGAAGGGTGAGACCGACCAGCAGACAGCCTAAGGTGCACAGGCCTGGAAGGGTAACGGGGTACCGCCTAGGACAGTCCAGGAAGATCTTAGGATATGGAGAATCTCAGATCTGAAGGTAAGTCCAGCCCAGGCCCTAATGATTTAATTTCTCCATGCCTGGATATCTGTGAGACAGACACTAGGAACTACCACAGAGGGTTGCCTGCCAGGTCTGTGAAATAAGGTTCATGTGGTAAGCTTGGTGTAGGCCCAGCACACAGATAAAGACCCAGTCTTCACCCTACAGAAGCCGCCAGGAAGTAGTCGTGGTTACTGAACCGTCAAGTAGGGGCACAGCTTTTCTAGTCCCTTCTCTGTAAAAGTTCTGAATTGAAGAGTATGCAAGCTAAGACAGGATGGGCAGAGGCCGCAGATCCTGAGCTGTGTAAACGGACCTCAGGGAGGCTCAGATGTACCTGCTGGGCCTCACAGACGTGGCCACCCTTGGCACTGCTTCTCTTCCTGATCACCGTGTCCTCCTACTATGAGATCATGCTCGGAGGTCAGCACCCAGAGAAACAACTGGCCTCATCACTCAGGTACAGTCCTACAGCCCCAGAGGGATAGCTACTCTGTCTGTCCTCTAGCAGCAAGCATAACTTCCCTTCCAAGGGAAGAAAAAGCTGAAGCCCCTCATCTGGCCACACTAAGGAAGACTCCCCAGGACAAAAAAATAAGCAAAGAAACCCCAAAGCAGTGATGAGCCTAGATCTCAACAATAGCCCTGCTGTTAGCCCGGCTACCAACACCATCTGCAGAAAAACAGACACAGAACTGGACAATGGAATCAGCTAAACGCAAACCCCTCCTCCTCCCCTCCCTCCGCCATCCCAAAGGCTTTCTTAAATCTGTGCTTATAAAGGCCACATTGACAGGGAATCTGCCCAAACCCCCTTCTGTGCCAGTGAGTGTTCAGCTGGAATATGAGGGAGGAGGGAACAGGGAGGAGGGAGATAGAAAGACTTGGACAGTGCAGTGCTTTCTCTTTATCAAATATAAAAAGTGCCAATTAAACATGTAGACTGACTATATCACCAGATTTAGTCCCTAGAAGCAATACCATAGAGCTTACATGTCAGTTAACTACCTAGTAACCCAAAGGCTATCATAAACAGAGAGAATGCGGGCAATATGCAGAAAAATATAGGATGCAGATCCCAATTACAGCCAGATAAAGAAAATTAAATTCAAGAAGACATAGCTGATGGCTATTATTTGCTAGAAATTCTGTAATTTCTTCCGGAAGCTCTCAACAACAAAACGAGTGGAAAAAGCAATTTCCATCCGGCTGACCGTTGGGAAACCCACAATTACATTCTGTTAAAATGAGCACTACTTATAAATAGCCTCTGTTCAAGCCGTTGTCTTTAATGTTGCTTGGGGGTGGCTAGAAAGTACTCAAGTCTGTTGGTTCTTTTTTGGGGGGAGGAGAGAGAAACAGGCAGGGCAGTTCCAGCTGGGCTTGCTGACAGCTCTCCTGGAGGGTGTGCTGGGTTCCACACACTTCGAGGGCTTGCCCAGAGAGTCAGTTTTCATTAGCTCTGCTCTGTGGTGTGGCAGCAATAATCATCATCCTGCCGAATGCAGCAGAAACAACCACCAAACGTTCCAGACTCCATACAGCCCAAGGCAGGCAGCCTCTTGTGAATTCCCTAAATGATTGTGACCCAGTCGTCCTGACAAGTGGCCGCAAAGGAAAAACAGCCAGTAATGATGGCTTCAAGAAACTGACAAATGACCAGTAGGAGTCGCCATTGACCCTAGAGCAGAATACAAGCTCTGAGTGCCAAGCAAGGGCCCAGTAACTTCTCCATCCTTCCCCAAAGAGAACCTCTTAGGGAGTGGGGGGGGTGGGGGGGGAGGAAAAGCGGAAGTTTTCTTAGTACTTGTAGGTCACAGTGCCCTCCATGTCTGTCTTTGAAGGTTCAGAAACCTTACCTTAATTTTTAATTATAGCCCAAGACAATTTCTAATGGCAGTGTGGGTGTGCCAGTTTTACACACTCTGAAAAGTAGTTGTTGGACTGGGTCCCAGCCCGTAAGTGAGGAGGACAGGTACAACTGCAAACCAGTCACCAGTGTGACTCTTGGTTTCCCTGTGACTCTGCCCTAACCCTAAGTAAAGTTAGGGAGGAAGAGACACCAAGGAATGGAGGTTAAGATTCGTGACGGCAAGCTGGGGGCCGCCATCACATATGGGTGGGCCCAGCATGCTGTTAATCGGTTCTCTCTATGAAATAGTTTGGAATCACTGGTCCATGGAGAACGGCACAGTCACACACATAGCCAGTCTGCTCTGAACTGTGAGTCAGGAGACGCATAGCCGTTCCCACAAGGTAACAGAAAGCCTGTAGCCTCCAATGTGAGGAAAAGCCCAACAGGGTTAGCAATGATTCTGTCACAGGGAGTGATTTCTTCTTGACAAGATACCCCCCCACACACTTCACACCAGGACAACCTGCCTTAAGCCCTCTCAGTGTCGGTCAGAATGGAGAGATACCTCGTTTTACGTTTTCTTCTTTAATCTGCTTAGACGGTGTTGGACCAAACTCCTCTTCCATGGGCCTGAACATCCGTTTAACGAGGACACTGCTGCTGGAGAAGGTGAACAGAAATGATTAAACACACAAGAGTCCCAGCAAGGGGTGTTCTCAGCTAGGGAGTGTGCCCCCCACACCCCACACCCTCTGTCACAGCAAGTCACAGCAGCCCTTCACTTCCATCTGAGGCCTGGCTATCCTGTGTGCCACTGTAGCACAGCAGGAGATTACACAGGCCACCTGACAGACCTCTGTTGGGGACTGTCCTAACTGCCACAGTGAGAGATTGAACCCAGCCTCCTGTCCTGTCCTCTTCTCACAGAAGATTCCAGCCTGGAAGACGGTGGTGTTGACCCCTGAGCATTCTCTGTGGGCTCAGTTCTGACAGATGCACATTTGCTTGCAAAGTCCCTATGCATTCCAGATGTGCTATGGAAAGGGAAGGACTGTTTAAGGGGAAGAGAAATCAGAAGTGGAGATTTAATCTCAGCTTCACGGATCTCAGGTGGGTCTGTAGAAAATGGTGCTTTCTCTGGGATTGTCTGGCCCAGGAGGTATTATCTGGCAGATCACTTAGCAGAATTGTTAGTACAGGACCTCAGAGGTCAGACCACCTCACTTGACTTAGAATTCCTGTTTTATAGTTTCTTACTGTACAAATGTGGACATGTTTCTCAACTTCCATGGACCTTAGTCTCCTTATCTTTAAAAGAAGGCTGTTGACACAGAAATGACAATATTTGAGGAGCTGGAAATATTAATTATACCAAGTTGATCATTACACACAATACACACTGTCAAATGAGCATACCATGCCCTATAAATAAGTACAAATATTATGTGTCAAATAAAATTAATTAATTTAATAAAATTTAAGAGGAGGCTGGAGAGACAGCTCAGCAGTAAAGACCGTACACTGGTCTTGCAGAGGACCAGACTTAAGTTCCTAACACCCATGTCAGGTGGTTCAGCTTTCTATAACTCCAGCTCCAAAGGATCCAACGTATCTCATCTCCATGAACACTTGCAAGCATGTGTACACACTCATACACAACACACGTGTGATTTAAAATAATCAAAATTTAAAAGAGGCTCTCAAGAGAATTCGGTGAGTGTTGGGGACACAAGGTAACCAGCATGGAGGCGCCAGACTACGACAGTGAAGATGACGAGGGCCACAGGCTGGAGAGGCTTAGGGAAAGAAATATGAAGAAGACTGTTTTCCATCCAGGGCGAACAGTTCAATTAGTCTTGCATGGGAGATGGACACTCCCATGTCCATCTTAACCCAGGCAGACAGCACAAAACCCTGTGACTCCTGAACGGACATCCTGCCAGAGAGTCACTCGTCACATCCCAGGTCAGGTGAGCAGAAATCCGGGTTATAAAAGCACAAGGCACATGACCTGTGGTCCAGTCCAGAAACATTTCTAGTCATGCTGGTAGCTTACATCACTAAACCAATGGTGCTTAGTTTACCTCCACAGAGGGCCTCAGCCCAGCGACTTCTTTAATACTAGTCCAAGCTTCGAAGCACAACTCCTGAGCACCCTGAGCCAGCTGAACAAGCACAATCTTAGCCCTTATGTCCACAATGACAGGAGGCTCAAAGGTGTTGTCGGCCTTACACAGGGTGACCCAGCTAACAGGGAAAGGCTATTCACCTGTGCCGCCTTTGAGGGAACGGCCATCGGGGATGCCGGTAAGGTAGAGTCAAGAGCCAGCTCTCTAACTATATCCCTCTGTCTGTCAAACAATGAAAGCAGCTAAGAAAAAAATCTAAACCTCAAGTCCCACCTGAAGGCAGTAATGAACTTAGAACACTACTCCCTCTGTCTCGCCTTCGGCTTTGTGGTAACAGCAGGTCCGGGTTCTCTGTCTCATCTGGGAACTGAAGTGACCAGGAACTTAGAACTAGATGAAAAGAAATCCATCCACAGTAGCTAGGTGCCATTAAGCTAATAATTGGTAAGTAGCCTAAAATACTACCAGACACTTTTTCATGCTGAGTGAGTCAAACTCCTTCACCAAGCAAAATTCACTTATATTTTTTCCAGTTCAGTTAACTTTTGAGAACACCTTATTCCAAGCCACAGGAGACTCTGTCATTAAAATAGTATCTCAGATAAACCACCTTTCTCTTGGGAGACCACATATGCTTCTCTACACTTTCAAATCTATAAGCCCAGTAGAAGTCAGTTTTATATGTTCTGAATTCAATGCTTTCATTTATTTCTCAAAGCAAAACCAAACAAGGCAGCTCTGACTTGCCCATTCTCTAATAAAAAGAGCACAGGTTGCAGGCTTCTGGTGCCCAGGACAGAGATATTGCATGACATTTTTCAAAAGACCAGCAAGCAGTAGAGCATTGCTCTCTCTGGCCTCACTGTCATCCTACAGTCAGGTAGAACCACCCATGGCCAGTAACATATTCAGCCATGGGCTTGTGGGATCGATCACAAGGTAAACAAGACCCTTGATATCAACAAATGACATTGAGACTCATCAGAAAAGGACTGCTCAGTGTTAGGTCTGAAGCAGGATTAAGGCTTCGGGCTACAAAGGTATCCAGGACTTAGAGTCAAACTTCTTTTTTTTTTTTTTTTAAATTCTTTCTTTTTTTTTTTTTAAAAAGATTTTATTTATTTATTTTATATATATGATGAGTACACTGTAGCTATCTTCATATACACCAGAAGAGGGCATCGGATCCCATTACAGATGGTTGTGAGCCACCATGTGGTTGCTGGAATTTGAACTCAGGACCTCTGGAAGAGTAGTCAGTGCTCTTAACCTCTGAGCCATCTCTCCAGCCCCAGAGTCAAACTTCTAGAGAGCAAAGAGATAACAGAGAAGCAAGCCAAACACATGGCCGCACTGCTGGCGTCTTTCCCAGCTTCTTTAGCACCACACATAGTGGGTGGGATACGGAGCTAAGTCAAAATCACAGGGATGAAAGGCGTGGGCCGGATGTGACAATGCCACTGAAGACGGTACTCCCTCGGGGCTGGGTGAACACACGGTGTCCTCGGAGCTCAGAGATCTGTCTGGGCCTCTGTGAACATCAGAGAGCTACGTAGGACCTGTCCCCTCCCCACCTGCCTGCCTTCTCTACAGCCATAGGTTAAGAACTAAGGAGACTGGGCAATAGGGGCACAAGGGTGAGTGCTGGGAATTGTGGGTAGGCACTGGTTCAACCCCTGCTTCTATCATGTGCCAGCTGGATGACTTTGAAGAAGCTTCTTCATCCTCAAAGCCTTTTTCCTCACTGTCAATGGCAGATAATGGGAAATCTGGGAGAAATCAAGGACATGATGCATGCAAAAGCATTGAGTACCCAGGTACCCAGGGAGTGCTGTTACTTTCACATATAGCAATACCCAAGTACCCACCATGAGTTAATGGAGGCACCAATGACTGCCCACTTTGCTCAAGCAGAAGTTGTATGAAAGTAGGCGACACAGGTCTTGGAATAGATCACTATTCAACAACACAGGCACCTCTGACAGAAAGACTCAGCCAGTGGACTTACAGGTAGGTCACTGGCCACTTGGCCTTAGTCAGCTTGCAAAGCGGAGGCTGAGATGAGATACTGGGCCAGCACAGACTCTTCAGACGCTCCTAAGGCTTCCCAGGAGCTTTCTCTCACTCAGGAACACTATGAAGAGAAATGCTGAGTGCTGGGGACTATGGGAGATCTGTAGGATAGCCTGCTACAGCGTCCTCAGTATAGACCTAAACACTGAGGCCAGGGACCCAGAGGCTGGCATGAGGTCTCATGTGGATACAGGGCAGTCCAGAGGACAGACTGGGCTTCCTGAGCTCAAGGCCAACATCCTTTCCACAACGCCATGCTGTCTCTTATAAAATATGTGATTTAAAGATTAGAATTCATAGGTCTAATCATTTCTGTTTGTTCCAACCACTGAAATTTAATTATTTCTATTTCAAGATAAAAAGAACAAACTAATTGTTTTTGGCATTGAGACAGGCATATTTACTGTGTAGTCAGAATAGGCTGGTCTCAAACTTTTGATCCACCTGCCTCTGCTCCCGGATTTCTGGGATTGTAGGTATGAGCCACTATGCTTGATTTTCTAATCAATACTTAGAGAATTTACAACTAATTTTTGAGGTTCCATCCTGGACAAGTTTCGGCAGAGTTGTTTAATGAATTCCTGTGAGATGGAAGGTGGCAGCTTTCGTCTGAGAAGGTCCCAACAACATTTAGGTCTTTTAGATTCCTGTTGCAACCACTCAATTCTGCTGCTGTGTCATCAAAGAAATCATAGTCAGCATGTAAAGGAACTAACATAATACAGTTGTGTTTCAGAAAAAATTCTTTCTTTCTTTTTTTGGGGGGGTTTTTAGAGACAGGGTTTCTCTGTGTAGCCCAGGCTGTCCTGGAACTCACTCTGTAGACCAGGCTGGCCTCAAAACTCAGAAATTCTCCTGCCTCTGCCTCCCAAGTGCCAGGATTAAAGGCGTGTGCCACCACTGCCCGGCAGAAAAACATTCTTTACACATGTACCATGTGTTGTCAGTCTTCACTGGAGGTTTTTAAACTACTGAAAACCATTCTTAGTCAGTAGTCCATTCAAAATTGGTGATTGGGCTGGGTGTGGTGGCCTTTAATTCCAGCACTCAGGAGGAAGATGCAGGTAGATCTCCATGAGTTCAAGACCAGCCTGGTCTACATAGTGTATGTTAAGCCAGCCAGGGACCCTACCATTACTATTACCAGCAAGAAAGATCTGACCCTCTTGCCACTTCTCAAGGAAGGAGATCGGCAACATGTGCTATAGAGTTCCTTGACCAGCGATGAAGTAAGTGTCTTACATAAGAATGAGGAGGCCTAGGTCTGACTATGGTTTGGGGGGAAATGACCTTGGAATGGTAGACATACAATGAATGCAAACAATGAGCAAAACATAGATATTGGAGAATGAATGTAGTTTTAACTTGATAGATATTGGAGAATGAATGTAGTTTTAACTTGATAGATATTGGAGAATGAATGTAGTTTTAACCTGCTTTAAGGGAAAAACACAGCATCTAGCTTATGAGAGAGTTCTCAGCATAACCTGTAATTCATGCAGTCTGAAACACAATTATTCTCCAAACTCAATTTTCAGAAGATATAAATAAAAAAACAAAGAAACAAAAAACCTTAGAGGTCTATCTGGAGAGAGCTGCTGAGAACCTGGGTTCAATTCCCAGCATTCACAGGGAAGCTCACACCATCTGCAACTCCGGTTCCAGGGATCCTCTAATGCCCTTTTCCGGCCTTCATGGGCAACAGGCGTGCAACTGGTACACAGACATGTACAGAGGCAAAATGACTATATGCATTTTGTTTGTTTAAATTTAGTAGTCTCCCATGAGGGAAATTAAGATAAAACGCTATTTTAACTAAGAGCAGTTGCAGGGAAGAAAAGTTGGAATGCTAAGGGAGGAAAAGGCTTCTCCAGAGAGCAGAGCAAAAGCCAACGGACAGAAGTCAAAAGCTGTTCATCGGAGAGAAGCTGCTATGTCAAGCTCAACTGTTAATGTATTTAGAATGAGAGTCCACGAGGAGATTCGGAAAGCACACTTTGGGGGCTGGGACGGAGGGGGTCCAAAAAAGAATTAATCAACCAGAAAAGACTGTACGTTATTCAAGGGGCTGAAACCCTAAATGACATATCAGAGGGCAATCTCAAACTAGCAGAGGTTTGGAACAACTTTGACATCTGACATCCCTGGTTGTGCCCAGGATCTGCTTTGCACAGATCTAAATGTAACGCAGCCAAGCTAGCACACTCAGTTGTTCCAACATGAGCCAAAGTACAGTCGTCCTCCCTTTAAAAGCTGAAACTGTCCAGCTCTTAGAAACAACGTAACAGCGTCCTCCTGTACAGAGAGCACTCCGTCACTGGCAATACTCAAGCAGACGGCAGCTCAACATCTCTGCTCAAGAAAGTGGTATAGATGCTACTGTGGCCTAGAAAAGAGTCATCTCAGTGGCCTTAAAAAAGCTCTTTCATAGACGAAAACTTCTGAGAATATAAAATAAGTTAAGGATAGAACTGAAGAGTTAACTGCCCGTAAAAATCTATAGGTGGGCATATGTTCTCCGCAAAGATGGAGAACATCTCCTACCCCTGTTATACAGAGACACATGTGGCAAGAGTGGAAGAGAGCTTCTTACCTAAAAGCCACAGGACAGTGAACAGGCTCTCAGCCTACTCAGGCCCCACTCAAAGCTGTCTACCCAGAGTGAGGACTACAGGAGCTGTCTCTGTCTCAGGCAGTACTGAAAGCAAACAGTGCACTAAAGAGATGGGCCACTTGGGTAAACTTAGAATTTATTCGAAGGCAGATCATAGGAAGAAGCCAGGGCACAGAATGAGAGCATGCAGGGAGAAAGGTCATCACCAGGCTGCCACCCCACAGCTCCTTTCTCAGTTCTAAGTCACAAGCACAAGGGAAGGACCCACTCCTGCCCAGGGTGTCCCTGGGCTAGAAGGTCCATTGCTACCCACACAAAGAAACAGTAAGTGCTTGAGAAGGAAATGGCTGCTGTCTTACCCTTCTCGCTCATCGTCTGTGTTGTAATAGACCTGTGGAAAACAAAAAGCCACATGTAGGAAAGAAATAAACCATGGAAATCTGCATGAGTTGTCTTAACAGACAAACTATCTCTCAAGAAGAAAAAGGACACTTTTGATTAGCAATTGTGTGTGTGTGTGTGTGTGTGTGCTATATCAGTTTATCAAGAGTGACGAGGCACCTTAGCCCCAGTTGTAACTGGAAGCAGGATAGTTAGACTCAACCATTTCTCTTCTGTAAGATATGGAGACAACCTCATTCCATAGAAAGCACAGCTACATGCTTGAAAGCTTTTAAAAAGGAGGTAGAAACACACACACACACAAACATACACACACACACACCCTTGCTAGCTGTCCTTTCTGGACAAGATAAAATATTCACTCTTTCCTCTTATATCTTAGTTCCTCCAAAATAAGACAAGATAGAAATGTTAAAGTAATTCTTAGCAGAAATCTACTCCATGCAAAAAGTTAAGTATGAATATATTTATTACCACCTTATAGCATGAACATGGAACCACTCACACAGAGCCGCGTGTGCACGTACACACACATACACACACGCGCGCACAAGCCACCATCCTCTGGTTATACAGCTGCCTCATCACTACATAGAACATTCTCCAGAAAGAGAAGAGGAAGCTAGCAAGATGTCTCCTTCAGAATGACATCAGTCCCAGCACTCAGAATGGGAGGGGACTTGAGTCTGCCATTATGTTAGTTCTCTGAACAGACTTTTCATCCAATGACTCTGGAGTCAAAGGAAAACCCATCCGTGCAAAAGTAAAACCCCAGTGTGTGGCTAAAACCAGCTGTGGCTGATGGTAAGAAACATCTTTCTTCTCCACAGTTTTCCCTGCTCCCGTGGGAGAGGAGGCCTTAAAGAGGAGAGGAAACAAACCTCCCTCATCTCAGGACTCTGTAAACCTTCATGACAGAGTTAGCATGTGAAAAGCCCTCAGCAGGTGGGTAGCTCACCCAGTCAGTACTGGAGTTTGAGTTAAACACAGAGAGATATCTTACTTTTTGTTTGCATTGAGTAATATTGTAATTAATTCTCCTGTGGATACATAGTTTTCACCATTAAACTTTTAGCACTTACATAATCTTTTGCAAAACTATGCTGTCATAATTATATAATTATTGAACACTTATTTGGTTTCTAATCCTTCCTTTCATCTGTAGATTATAATCATAACTTAGTTTTTGTGTATTTGAAGGAAGATCTATTTTTCCTTCAGACGAGAAATGATTTATCCATTCAATGAGAGCTATTTATTTACTAAGGAAACATATATTGACAAGACCTTCATTTCTCTGTACTGGGCAAATGTATGAAGTGATTGATACAGTTCTATCTCTCACCACTAGGTGGCAGTATGTGAACTGATAGAGTCTGCTTGACACAAAACTGTGATGAGCTTTCTCCCCTGTCATTTCCAGCAATTTTCTAATAACAGCTTACACCTCTCTTTGCCTTAGAGTGCCAGTATTCTCTCCCAAGGCAACCAGTCTTTTCTGTAAAATTCTACTTTTTGTATGGAATGATAGTGACTTTGCTCTGTGGTCTGCTCTGTTGGGAGGGTGTGAGAGCAGGAGTCTTACCTGTCCGGTCCTCTGCAGGTTGGCAAAGTGAACATCTGGTATGAAGAGCACCGGCTGTGAGTGCAGGTCGGGCATGGTTTTGAAGTAAGTGATGTCACTCTTCTTCTGTAACGGTATGGCGGCCATCTTCCCATCAGAGGCTGGATGCAAGCACAAAGCCCATGTTACACACCCCTGAGAACTCTCAGCCATCAGCTTTGTCTTAGCCAAAGTCCATGATTCTCCCTCACAGCTTTCTCAGCACCCTAGATGTGCTTATGCCTTAAATGTCCTTCCTCAGGCCCAAACAAACATGGGATTCTAGGAGAATGCACTCAACATGGACGGAAGCTCCCTCCACTTCCTGCTGACCTGTGTGGACCCTGGAGTCCCGAGTCAAGAGGGTCCTTCTGTTTGCTCTCCATATGAATGCTCCTCTGTCTCTGGACAAGAGCATGTGCCTTCCCCTGCAGACTGCTTCCTTCTATCTGTCTTCTCAAAGGACCCTGCTGGCTGCAGTCCCCCAACTTAGCACAGTCAGTATGGGGGACAGGGGCAACTTACAGTTGTTGCACTGGGTTTGGGAGGCCTGGCCCTTCCCTTTCTTCCTGTTCTGCTTTCTCTCTTCATCTCGGATTTTCCTTTCTGCTCCCTGATAGGGAAAACAAAGAGAGATCAACCAAAAGATATTCTCAGAGGATGAAAGAATATTCTCTCTCACACACACATGCATGCATGTACATGAACTGGCACACAAACACACATGCACACACACTCTCACATCAAGAAGACGGGAAATAAACTGAGGGAATCCTCAACTCCCTCCCTGGAGCGCAATGAGAACACGCACAGATCTGTGCACTGCGCTCTGACCCTGGAGTGATGCCAGCTCGCCCTGATTGCCTCCTCTCCTCTCCCTGTCTCATGCCTATCTCATGAACTTGATTTTTGAATCCATGAGGAAAGAACAGGCTGAGTTCTCTAATTCAGTGTCACCTGCTGAATAACTCAGTGCTATTAATAGAATAGCCTTCCCCTGTGCAAGTTTTCCTCTGCATATGGTTATGAACTTAAAGAAAAAAAAATCACCACAGGAAGAAAGGATGTTCTTCTCGAAGTTGTGGCCACAAAAAGATGGGGAATTGTTCTGCATATGAAAGTACTGATATTCTCCTGTGTGCTTAGAGATGGTGCCTACCACACAGAAGAGCCGTGCATCTGCTCCTGTCCTTTGTAAATTGACTTTTTATACAGTTTTATATAGTTCTGACCCTGCTTTGCTCACTGACTAGCTGTCTGGGTGCCTGTACCATCCACTGCTCATCTTTCCTTTGGGCCATTTGTTAACTGATTTTCCTATTTTGGTCCCCAGTCAGAGACATCCCAGCACAGTTTCCTCTGGCGTTCTCTCTCCTGGCTTCAGGAGAATTCGCCCACAATGTGCTAGACAAGTGACACTCAGGATGCCATGTCTAAGCTTCTTCCCTAGGTCTTGGTCCATGTTAGGAATCCCTTTCCCCTGCAGGAAACACTGCTTAGGGAACACTGATGCATAAGCAACCTTCAGTTGTTTCTTTCTTTTTGTTTTTTTTTTGTTTTTTTTTTTGTTTTTTTGTTTTTGTTTTGTTTTGTTTTTCGAGACAGGGTTTCTCTGTGTAGCCCTGGCTGTCCTGGAACTCACTCTGTAGACCAGGCTGGCCTCGAACTCAGAAATTCACCTGACTCTGCCTCCCAAGTGCTGAGATTAAAGGCATGCGCCACCACCGCCCGGCATAAGCAACCTTCAGAAATGGCCTGAAACTGTCAGAAAAAACACATTTGACAAAATAAAATGCATTCCTCTCTGAACAAAAAAATAAACAGAAAGAAAAAAGAAAAGGAAAGGGGAAAAAAGGAAAGGAAGTCAAAAGGCAAAGTCAAAATTGCTGAACATCTTTGGAACATTTGACACATAAAGTGTCAAATTCCAACTATATACAAAAAGACTTGAATCTGTTCAAACACATTCACCGATAAATGTGAATCGTTTGCACCAGAATACATAGATGGTTTGGTTTGAATTAAAAGGACGAGATACACTTTTTGGTCACATTGACTCTCATAGGAGAGTCCCAGTTCTGACCAAGGCTAGGACGCAGTGGGGACTTGTCGTCAACAAGAGAGGGCACCGTGGCTTTGAGGGAGTTCTCAAAGAACCGGCCATGTTCCATGTTTCACACAGATGAGACACAGACAATTACAACATACCTACTACACATAGCTACCAGAGGGGAGGGGACTAGTGACTTTACTCTTGACATGAAAATCTGAGGTGTCATTGATACGTCCAGGTCATGGAAATTCACAGCAAGAAGGACAACATTTAGATATCTCCGCTGGACAGTACTCATCAAGATACCCTAAATTTTGTAGAGCCTTTGCATTGAACGAAGAGAACTGCTAAGCGTCCCAGCAATGCCTCGTTCTGTGCTGGGAAAAGGCGGCATTGCTTGCTAGGTGCACACAGGGCACTTAGCCGTGTGCTGGAAGCTCTGGTTAATTCAGTATTTCACATAGTGTGGGTCTCTATCATCTACAAAGTATGACTCACTCAAGACACACCCCAAGGTTACACAAATTCCTTTTTATTTTTTATTTGTGCATATTCAACTTTTGTTTTATTTTTAAGTAATTCTTTTTTTTTTTAAGTAGATTTAATTCTACTTTTTTTTTAAAAAAAAAAAAAGAATCATATATGTGGAGTATAGTATTCAGGAAAAAAGTAGATTGAATTCACTTTATTTCCTTATATGTGGTAGCCACAGCTGGAGCCTGGGTCCCCTGAACAGAGAGACTCTGGTGTGAGTTTTCACAAGGTGAGTTCCTGAAGAGGCAACGTGATAAACACAGCCTTTCCCCAGAGGTCCCAGGGTCCAGTATCTGTGGGACTTGGGGGTGGCATCAGAGATGGCCTCTATGAGGTTGCCCAGGGTGGCAGTGCAGCTTCTGGCCCATGTGTAGCAGCCATCGATGCTGACACAGGCAGAGAAACAATGCCAGTGCCCCTGGGCTTAGAGGTGAGGCGAGACACACCAGCACAGAGCCACAGCGGCCTGTCACCTTGCATGGAACAATTTGGGGCTTGCCAATCTTGTTCTCCTAGGAACACACAAGGACAATAGAAAGCTTGTCCAAGATACTAGCCCCTTAGGTATTGGTTATGTCCTTCGAGCACTTAACACAAAGCCCAACATTACTACTGAAGTCCCCAACAGCAACCAAAGCCTTGAGCCTGATCCTCAGAGCAGCTTCTGCGTTGGCATGGTCTCCCTCATTTCTCAAATAAAGCTATGAGTTCAGTAAGATACAAAGAAGCATTAAACATTCAATAAAGACAGAGAGGTCCCCCTCCAAGAGATCATTTTATTTCCTGGAAATATTTGCAGCCAAAATTTCCAGAAAACATTACTCCTATACGTATGGAGGAAGACTATTTCATCAAAGCGTACAGACTTTCTGCAAATGATACAATTACAGTTAACTCTCTGCATGGTCACAGGACTCCCCTTCATCAGTTCCCGGACATCCCCAGCCCCTAACACTGGGTTATACAGGAACCTACCAGGAGCACTGTCACTTGCGATCACAGGACTCTTCATGTCAGCTCCTGGACATCCCAAGTCCCTAACGCTGGGATACACAGGAACCCACCAGGGACACTGTCACTTGCTGCATGGAACACATGCCAACCTACCATCTTTCAATGACTTCAGAGCATGTAAAACAGGAGCTATTAGGAATGTGACATAGCTTCCAGTTGGCAAAGTTTTCAATGTTACAAGCATAGCTACACAAGCAAGCAGTTCTTCTTACAGCCACCTTTTTCAGGCTGAAGGCCCTGCCACACGACTTCAGAAATAAAACTTCAAGGCTGGAAGGGACTACACACACTCCCCTCCCCATCCTCACTCACTGAAAGGCAGAATAACTGAACGGAAATCTCTTTTCTTTTAAACTGGAAAACAAATAGTATAATCAACCATTTTATCCTCTTAAAGACTGGGACATGGGCTCACAGCCACGATGGACATCTCTTCTGAAAGTCTGGGTGTTTGTTTGCTTGTTGGTTTAGTTTTTCAGTTTTTTGTCTTTTTTGCATGATCAGTTGTCATTCTGACATTCTGTGTATCAAGTCAGTCATTCATTCAAGGAGTCTGAACTGGGACAGATCTAAGTCTGCTGCGTGAGTCCAGCCACACCCCTTATGCCTTCTGACCTACATGTATGTATGCGTTCACTGTGTGTGCTGAGTCAGTTGGCCTCTGGGCTCTGAAGGCTACCTGTCTGTCCCTGAGGTCTGGGGCTGTACGCCTGTATCTACATCCCTGTGCAACGGTGTGGCTGTGTCTTCCTTTCTCCTCTCCTGATCATTTCCTCTCTGGTATCAGTGTTCTCAGCTCACAGAGATCTATTTCTCTTGGTGCTACTTCATTGCTAAAACAGGCACGGTAATGCAACAGACTGCTGTGCCTCTGAGAATGAAGGGCAGCAATGTATTGGCTGCTGACCTCTTTTCCTTCATCTTCCACTAACCCGAGTAGTCACCAGCCCATGTCCATTAGCATCCAGTGAGATAATTCCATCTTTGTTACCTAACTTTGTATGTACTTGTGTTGCATGCATGTGTACCGCCATGCATGCCAAGGCCAGGGAAGCACACAGAATGCTCTCCTCTTTTACTCTTTATAGCCTTGTGACAGGGTCTCTCACTGAGCCAGAAGCTTGCCATTTAAGCTAAAGTGGCTGGTCAGGGATCTGTGGGGTCCTGTACGGCTCTGAAATAGCACTGAAGTCACAGGCACACACAATATGCCAGATTCTTCTATGGGTGCTGAGGATTTGAACTCGGGTCCTTGTGCTTACATTAAGAGCACTCTTAGCCAGTGAGCCATCTCCAGCAGTTACTGACCTCTTCAACAGTCATCCTTGTCAGGCTGCCACACTCTCACACATCCTTGCCACACTCTCTCCCGTCACTCACAGTTAGTTACAGGTAAATCTGTGCTCGGTGCCTGTGTTTTTACATTCCGTGTCTAAAGTTTATTCTCTACTGCATTTTTAAAGAAGGAATATTCACAGCACTTGGGTTGTTACAATGTTGTTTATTTGAAGTTTGTGATTTTTCTATATTCTTTACACTGGAGTTAATTTGGCTAGAAATAAAGTCCTTGGCCATGTTTACTTTATTCTAGTCAGGCAACTGTTTTCTCCTGGCATACTATTACTGTTGAAAACTTTGATGATAACTATTGTCTCTAATTGTTAGATGCCAAGAGAACAGTTTTCTGTCGAGAGCTATTCTTTCTTTTTCTCCTTCCTTCCTTCCTCCCCCTGAGATAGCATTTCACTATGTACACCTGGCTGTCCTGAACACAAATGTAGCCAAGGCTGGCCTCAAGCTCACAGAGATATGCCTGCCTCTGCTTCCCAAGCACTGAAATAAAAGGCTGAGAGCTGTCACTTCACACTGTTAGCCTGAGCCGGTTTACCCAGCACGTGGGCAGCACTCTCGTGGGTGGTCTGCTGTGGCATTTTTCACTTTTGTTCCATTTTGTTGCTTGGGAGTTTGTCGTTGTTGTTTTGTTCTTCTCCGTGATCATAGGCCTGTGAGTCCTGGATTGTCTTTAGGTCTGTACTCTGACTTCTGTCTTCTCCTCCATAAACTTCCTTCCATCTTTGAAGTCTGTGTTCTCTCCCTACTTGTACCTTTACCTGTCACATTGATCAGTCATGGTTGCCTCTAGTATAATCTTCTGAAATAGTTCAGTTTCATTTCTAGTTCTTCCCTGAGTTCCAGCACGTGTTGATTCGTGTTGATTCTCGGGTGCATGCCTTTCACATCCCTCTCTGTTGACCCCAGCTTCTCCTGCTGCCTGATTCATTGGCTCACCTTGAGATGCTAGGCTATTTTTCACCTGCGGGGTGGGCATCGCTGTGTGTGTTCATTCATTATCCATACGGAAGCTGGTCTGGTCTTAACCTTGTGTTTTTAATGAAGTGAGTTTTATGTGAGGGTTGGCTATTTCCTGAGTCATCTTTGGGTGACATGAATGTTCCTTACTAGTTTGTTCCTGAAGGCTCACTCAGTGTGCTTTCTTATACACCCCAGGACCACCTGCCCAGGGATAGCACCACCCCAGAAGCTGGACCCTCCCCCATCAACCATCAGACAAGACAGTGCTCCACAGACTTGCAAACAGGCCAATCTATGGTAGTAATTTTCTTGGTTGAGGTTTCTCTTCCCAGAAAACTCCAGCTGTGTCAGGTATCAAAAAACCAAACAAGGAGAGTGAGTGTGTCTTCCCACCAAATTTTCATTTTCTTTTGAGCTTCTCCTTCCTGGCTACCTTTTTGCCCTTTCCAGCAGCTGATTTCGCTCTCACCAGTTTTTCTCAGAAGAGGATTTTTCCCTGGACCAGAACTTTATCTTATAAATTTTCACAGAAAACAACACAACAATGTTCAGTCTATTTGCACACAGCAGCCAAATGAGATCGTCAAAATCAGCACCTCAGCCCCATCTTGAGCTCTGGCCTCAGAAGGCCCTACGGTACTTTCCCATGAGTGCCTCAGGCAGTCGCTCTGTGACACCACACTCATCCTTACACTGGTGACAATCGCTTGTACCTGACGTTCAGGGCTTAAATGTTCATATTCTGACTAGTCTCTCTCTTTTATGGCAGCAATCATGGGCACGAGAGCACTGTGTGCTGAGTGTGTATGAAGTAGTGAATTTACTCTGTAGGTATGCTTTCTACTCCCAAAAGTTCCCTATGCCATACATCGAATGGCAAAGATTACCGTGATATGTTCTAGAATGGTATCTACACCCAGTGAAAGTTCTAGATCTGTCCTTTCAGCTGCATGTTCACCAAAGCACAGTATGCTACAAACTGAAGCTCCCCTCACTCTGCCCCCGTGTGCTGAAGTGGCTTAACACTGCTGAGGTCATGAGGCTTATCCCTTATCATACATCAGTGTGCTTATGAAAAGACACATGGGAGAGCGCTTCTCTTTCTCCCCCACGTGAGGACAGAAAGTAAGATGGTTCCTGGCAGCCAAGAAGACAACCCTCCCAGGGACTGAACTCATGATCTTAGGTTATTAGCCCCCAGAACTGTAAGTTTCTAATGCTCACACCACCTAGCCTGGGGTATTTGATTTTAGCAACCTGAGAGAACTAAGACATAGAGCAATGTCAGTCACTAAATTAATAGTAAAACTGGTAGGAAGAAAACAAAAGCCAAAACAAAGGGCAATGGACTGGTGACTCCCTAACACACACCAAGACTCTGAATGAAAAGCTTCTGCTTCCACGTGAGAGCCAAATGACTCCTTAGACACAGCTAGACAAGGACACATGACAAGGGAGGACGCCCATTAGAGATCAGCTCGCCATTATCAGTCCCTTCCTGACAAACTGTCACGCTGGCTCACCTTGTCGCAGAAGACCTTGATCTGGCAGTACGCTCTGTGGATGGGTTTATTGCTGCGGTTGTTATAGCTGTACGTGTCGATCTGAATCATCAGGGGAAGTCCTTTCACACCCTTCTGGGAGGAGAAATCTGTACTCAAGCAATTCACGGTGATGAAAATCTGAAGGAGGGAGAAAGGGAGGTAAGTTCACAACTGCCATACAGAGAGATGTGAGCGGGCACATGAAGTGAGAGCCCACGTGGACCTGTAAGGACAACTGACAAATACCCAGCGCGCTCCCACAGAAAGCAGCGAGGTGCACAAAACATATTACATGACTGTAAACTTGTAAGCAATTCGCTTTCATATATGACCTTGAAATAGACAATTTAAATGTCCTCCTAGAGAGTACACGAGCAAAGCCTTATTCTCTTAAGCACAAGGTTAGTAAAACATTATTTTCTCAACATATAAAAATTGTCACTTCTGGGCTAGAGAAATGGCTCGGCAGTTTAAGAATACTTGTTCCTCTTGCAGAGGACTAGGGTTTGATTTCCAAGAGCCACATGGTGGGTCACAGCTGTTGTCCCTCCAGTTCCAGAGGATGCGGGGCCTCCATAGGCTCCTGCATGCACATACATACACTAGGCACACACACACAAATTAAATTAATCAATTAATTTAAAAAGCTGTCACTTCTAATAGTTATAACTTTCCCTAACCTCTGACTTTCAAGATAAAAATAAAATAAGATAAAAACTTCCTATTTTAATACACTAGCACCGAAACCTAGTTATGTTTATATAAAACTCTCTTCCCTAAGAAGCATGGTGTCTGGAAAGAAAGAAAAACAAAATACCTTTCTCTCATCACTCTGTTTTAATCACGTGTTCTGGTCACCATGACCCAAAAGTAACATCGGTCAATGGCGATCCTCACAGAAACTGGGAATGAGGGGACACTGAGGAGAAGTGGTCCTGGGAAAACCAGGACATATATTATTACGTATAATACAACTTTTCAAGTGTGTTGTCCCCTGGGCTTTTAAAAAGTCAAAAACTAGAGCTTTTGCACCACTGTGAGGGTGCCTAGGTTGTCCTGCAGGAAGAGAGGCCATAGATCTCTTCGGAAGCCCTCATGTGTTTGAAGCCCTGCAGACTTTTGGTAATTTATACCACCAGGCATTTAATTGCCAGTGTTTTACCACATATCTGTGAGCTCCTCCTGGTAATCTTAGCTGCATTAGTAAGACACCATCAGCTGTCCAGAGTAGTTGACAAGTTTCAATGATGTGCTAATTACAACTCTGCCTGCAGGGCCACGGGCTCCACCTTTCCAGCCACCTCGGAAAAACAAATACTAAAGGTCTCCCTCCACATGAGACAATGTGCAGGTGCCTTGAGAGGCATCGGATCCGTGTTAAATACAAATGTTTCCTGTTTGTTTGGCTTTGAGGCAGGGTCCTTCTCTGTAGCCCAAGGTCGCTGGGAACTTGGAATTCACTATTTGACCAGGCTGGTATTAAACTTGTGGTCCTTCACCTGATGAAGGCTCTCTAGCGCTGGAATTGCAGGCATGATCTCCCAAGCCAGACGAGAATGAATAAATTTTAGTTCCTTTACACTCAGACACAGGCACAGGGTATATGAAGGGAAAGAATAAATGTATAAGGTAATGCATGTTTTAATTTCCCTACCTCACTCTTTACACATACCCTGTAATATCATGTTGTGTATTTTAAATATGCAACACAAGATACCTTTACATACATATACTCATTCACTCACTCATACGTTTCCTTCATGTGTTCAGTCTACAGTTATCCACAGAAGCATACAACGGATCAAATGGTGTTAAACATTAGGAATAAGAGAGAAGCCAAGTCTACCTCATAGAGCTAACGATTCAAGACAGATGCAACAAGTTCTCAGCAATGACTGTCCTATGGTGGTCAAGTCCAAGAGGTGTGAGGAGAGAGGCCCCAGGAACATAGAACCTCAGCCTGGAGGATACTAGTGAAATACAAGCCACAGAGAGTCTGGGCTTGAACAGGGGGCCTCACAACTTCTGGGGAAAGGTAGGGATGGGGTGAGAGATGAGATCAACTCAGGTAAACACATGAGTGATGAGGACTGCCAAGAAAGTCTACAGCACAGGATGCATGTTCCAGACCTCCAGAGTAGAAACATTTTGTCGTTAGCAGTCACAGGATCAGAAAATGCTACCTCCAGCCTTAGAGAGTCCCTAAATGGCAGAGAAATTTTATTTAACACTCATTCAAGCAGCAGATATTTTCAAGTATCTTAAGTTTCCTAAGGCCATGGCAGCACAAATATATAAGCTCTGGGCCCTGCAACTGCAGAAGGTAGGGGTGAGGTGGGGTGAGAGAAACGTGGTGTCTTAATGATGACAATAGCTTCATTGACCACTGATCTGAAGGTCAGGACGGAGGTGTCTTTTTCTGGGAACATTTGACTTGTTTTATTGCTGGCAATGGGATGAGCTTGGCCAGGGTGTAGTTTCCTGTCAGCAAGTCACATGCTCACTCTGCTGAACTGTGTGGCTGTCCCTAGCCTGGCCATGCATTTCACAGAGATCTTCCTGATAATCTATGGGGAACTCAATCCTGACTGCTGCCCCCTCCATCAAAAGGTCTGCCGAGTAGAAAAGCCAGTGTCCTGATGGATATGTCCCACCTGACTAAGCTTCATGGCTAACTCACTGATTTGCACGTCCATCATTCAGTATGGGTCTATATGCAAGGTAGGAAGAAATGCTAATTACGGTCTGTCAGCTCTAAGTCTGACCTAAGAGAGCTAAAGCAACAGATCATGACTCTTTACAAGGACCACTTAAGTCACCTAGTCATCTAAAGCCAATGAGGTAACAGACGCTCACTGGCAACGTACTACAATAAATAGACTCAATCGTCCTTGGAGTTAGCTATAAAAGTCAGTCACCCAGTACACAAGGTTCCTAAAAGCCAACTGAGTTCCATCTGGAGACATTTAGACTCAATGCTCTTAAAAGAGAAAGGGTCTTCCCCAGAAGGCCCAGTGTGGCATCCTGATCCCATAAAAGGTAAACCACAGGAGTCTGCTTTCTGTGTCTGCATCTCCCAGATCAGCATAGCGGGCAGGCAGGATGCTGCGCTGGGCTCAGCACTGCTTCCTTCTCCTGCTGACTAACCCCTTGGCAAGCAGAGTTTCAGTGCCTGGTGGCATCAATCATAGCCTGGCCATGCCACACTCCAAATCCAAATGGTTGAACTTTAACCAATGCAGGGTGGGGAAGCATGGAAGGCCGTTAACTAGAACCTTGGCCTCAGAACTGATAAGCATTCATTTGTTTCTTCTTGCAAACCCTAGCAAGTCCCAGCTCCACGGGAAGCAAGCAAACAGGAGAGCAACTTGCTGGGACGTTTCTGTATGCGGAACTTTGTGTGAATGTGTTAGGGAGGTATGAAGATGGTATGGCTTTGGATGGTCCATTAAAACATCAGGCACTGAAAGGGCTTTCTAGCTTAAGTGGAGGCTCAGACTATGCAAAGAGAAGATGGATGGCAAACAACCATCAGACCTGCCTTTGAGTTATACGCCCACCATCTGTGAGGCCTCCGCTCCCACACTTGCCAAACCTCAGGTGTGTTCTTCTAATTCTACAAGCCCACCTTTCCTTCTTCTGGAAAACTAATCAAATTGTGTGCATTCAAGCAAATAACAGACGATATTTCCATTTCCTCCATGTGCTCACAGTAAATCAGATAATTTCTCAGTGTGCCTAGACACTGTTCCCAGAAAGAGCTGCCCAATAAACATGAGTTTTTAAAAAATAAAGTCCTTTGTTACAAGTGAATGATAATTCCTGTTTTGTGGCTTCTAACACAAGAGTGACTTTGCTGAGGTCTCAACCTGAGCTGTGTGCCAGGCAAATAGGAAGGTCTGTCAAAATGCACACACACCAGTGAGCTGCAGAAGGGAACCGGGAGCTCATGGTTAACTTCCACTGCATTTCCTAGACTTTCCAGCAAAAACAACTGACCCTACCTTTAACTGATTTAGAAAGCAATTTGAGATTTAAAGCTAAATCCTCATATCCATGATTCAATGTCATGGATTTATTTGACTTCATAAAAATTGAATTTTAGCAGGGCGGTGGTGGCGCACACCTTTAATCCCAGCACTTGGGAGGCAGAGGCAGGCGGATTTCTGAGTTTGAGGCCAGCCTGGTCTACAGAGTGAGTTCCAGGACAGCCAGGGCTACACAGAGAAACCCTGTCTTGAAAAACCAAAAAAAAAAATAAAAAAATAAAAAAAAATAAAAAAATTGAATTTTATATTAGTCCTATCTTTCTGGCTGAAGGCTATTTACATATTAATGTATTTTTAATACTCTGTAATGTATTTCTTTCTAAAAAACACTCTGGATCCTAAAGAACTCATCTAAGGAATCACACAGGCATTAGTCTTAAAATCACAGGTAGAGTATGCACTGAGAAATAAGTTTAACACCAGAATCCATTCATTCTCCCTTCAAAAATGGTATATAAATATTTAAGTGTGGTGATGCCAATCCCTCTCCCCTCTTGTTTTTGCTGTTGATGCCTCCACTTCCGCCTCCTCTTCCCCCACCCTCCACCCCCCACAGAGTCTCACTATGTGGTCTAGCTATCCTGGAACTCACTATGTAGACCAGGCTTTCCTGAACTAACAGATCCTCCTGCCTCCCAGGTGCTGAAATTAGTTCTTGCTTCTCATTAAAACCCTTTAGACATCTTCCTTACATTTTTTTTCCATTTTTCTTCTACTTCAGTAAGATTGTGCTTGAATGCAGATGGAATGAGAAATTGAGACAGGCAGAAAAGTCGGAGTAAACTCTGGTAAAATGTTAAGGAGCCACACATAGGACAACCCTGAACCGTGAGCTGTTGGACTTGGGTGTCATTTATACACTTTACACTCCGATCTATCCAACAGTTATCCTCTGCTGGCACTGTGTGCGTGTGAAAGAGAGGCCAGCAAGCCAAGACCACCTATGCCTGCTCTCGGGGAGCTTCCCGTTTCCTGAACCTGCCACTGGCACAGCCCTTCTGTAGCTATGACGACTGTACATCTATCTCTATTTTTGTTTTACCTTTTATTCTTACGATGCATTTATTTCCTACACACACTATGGGTATG